TATATATATATATATATATATAAGTTTGTATTTACCTGAAATAGTAACTCAAACTCCGCCTAAAAATTTTATTTTTACCTTTATTAATAGCTTTCTTTAAATATTTTTGAAAATATTAGTTCTCAATTTAAATAGATTATATAAAAAATTGAATGTTACTATGTTATTTAAAATAGTAAATATAAAAGAATATTATAACGAAATATAATAAAATAATTTTTTATTTCATAAAGTTAGAAAGTAATACATTTCTACGTAAATTCTAAATTCTTAATTGTACGAATTTAAAATACTTGAAAAATTAATAAACGTGATACATTGACTTTATAAATATAAAATATAATCACAATACAATAAAGCTTATTTTGTTTAAAAAACGAATCAAATATACGGAGATGTAAATAATATCAGTTTTACATATATATAATTTTAATAATATAATAAAAAGTATCTTTTTGACAAGTTTAGTGTAAAAGTACGGGCACCATTTTAATTAATTATCACTTTGTTAGTTATTTGTTATTGTTGTATATTCATCATACATAATTTCACAATAAAAATATAAATTATTTTAATTATTATTGTTCAAATATTAATATATTTAAGTGGCTGTGTAGTACACCGGTATTGTACTAGTAACTAATTGGTTATGTACTGATAATGTAAATTTTAAATTGATGTGCAATAAAATTAGTAAAGAATGAGAAAAACAATGTAAATTTTAAATTGATGTGCAATAAAATTAGTAAAGAATGAGAAAAACAAATATTAGCCCTCTTAACAAAAGATTAATTTTTCTATAATTATTTTTATTTTCATATTCATTTACGATGATATAATACACNTCTTAATGCGAGAAATAGGAATAAATCGTAGCCATTAGATCGGATGATCTAATGATTAAAAAAAATCAAAATTATACTTTCATTAAGGGTATATTGGTTGTAATTACTACCCACATCACCCACCCCACACACCTAACACATACAAATCACACGCACACACACCTAACACACGCACACACACTCTGCACACACACCCACCAGACACACACTGTACACATTAATAACACACATTGTACACATTAATTACACACACTATACACAATACATTAACACACACACACACACACACACACACACACATTAATCGCACACACCCACCCACCCACACACACACACATACACACACATATACATACATACACGAAGCTCCTCCACCATCGACCGCTGGTCTCCACCGTTGTCACCGACTGGCATCCTCGCCGCAACATACTGTGAGCACGCACCGTCGCCTGCAACCGCCAACTGGTCTGTGAGCTCCTCCACCGTCGACCGCCTTCTGCCGCCAAGGTTCATGAACGCGCCGCCGCATCTCCACCAGACACAGCCGTTCTGCCAGACGCGAAAGAGCTCCGACCAATTGCTGTTATCCGCCTCCACCACGAAGCTCCAATCATTGCTGTCGTCGCCGACACACTCCGGCAATAGGTTCCGGCAATAGGTTCCGGCAATCGGGAACCCGTCGTCAGACGTGGCAAAGCCCGCACAGGTCGCGGCGGCGGGAAGCTCCAACACGAATGAAAAAGTCGCTCCGACCATGGACGCCGGACGTCGCGACCGGAGATGGCTGGTCAACGGCGGGTGGGGTGGTGGAGGATGGAGATGATTTTGGAGAGGTGATGATAGCAATATAAAAGATGAAAATGGATTGTAGGTTGGGCACATTATTGAGAATTAGATTAGATGTAAGGATCTATTTGCAATTTTAACAGTTGTAAGTATATTTCAATTTAACCCACGTGCCAAATCTGCAATTATTGAAAGTTAATAAAAAATTATTGTTTGTACCTTTTGTTATGCATATATATTAAATCATAAATAAATTATTAAATAACAATAATATCAAATATTAAAATAACATAAAAATATTTTATAGTAATGAGTAAATTATATAATAAAAAATAATAAATTAAAAAATATTTTAATAATTTAAGTTAATTCGATGTACAATTATATATATATATATATTAAGTAGTTTTCGAATACACATAATTTATAAATTAATACACATTATATAGCGCGATGTTGCACTTTATAAAACAACAGGTTGCACTTTATAAGACGACACGTTGCACTTTATCAACATAATAATGTCACTAGCTTCCGTAAAAGATATTACGCATATAAATATAAAAAATGGATCTACATAATTGCACTTTATATATCAATACATTGCACTGTATACGCAAATACGTTGCACTTTATCAACATAATTAACATAAATAGCTCCCGCAAAAAATATTAATTTATAACTTAATGTACGTTATATAGCCCGATGTTACTTTATAAAACAACAGGTTGCACTTTATAAGATGACACGTTGCACTTTATCAACATAATTAATGTCACTAGCTTCGGCCAAAAATATTACGCATATAAATATAAAAAATGGATCTACATAATTGCACTTTATATATCAATACATTGCACTGTATACGGAATTATGTTGCACTTTATAACACGACATGTTACAACTTAAAACAATACAATACACACGCGTACAAAAAAAAAAATGGTAATTCTGCTAATCGATCGAATAAATTACTTGATTAAATGTCAAATTTAGTCTTTTTAAATAAATAAAATAACTGAATATGTTGAACTATATGAAAAATGTTACCAATTCTTTTTTTATTTATATTTTTTAATAAAAAATTATACTATTTTTTATATGTTTTTATATGTATTACGAATGCACATAATGACTGTACTAATTGCACATAAACACCTACCATATTGCACAAAATCAAACGAAATCCAACGAGCATAAATTCGGTTAGAAATATTATATTTTGTTTCGATTTTTTTTTATATAATGAGTATTTTCGGTAAGATGACATTTTTTTATTTAAATAACTAAAATAAAAGCCAAACTATATTAAAAATAATATTTTTATTTTTTTTTGTATAAAAAATATTAAGTTATGATTTTCTATTGAAGTATAAAAAAATAATGTAGTTCATTTTATGTATAGTTGTGTATTTATTAAACCTTTACTATATTATCAATTTGCTAATTGTCCTCAATTGAAATAAAATAAAATTTCAAAACTTGCAATTAGGCCCCTAGAATAGATCAAATTCTCACACAAATAACTCCAAAATTCAAACAACACTCATGGTACAGCAAACTGCCATATCCGACACAATCACAGAGGTCGTCAGCGGCCGACGTTGGCCTGTTGGTCGCCGCCGACATTCACCGGCGATTTTTCGGCGAGCAGCCAAGATGGCGGGAAGATTCACGACATTGAAGCAGCCATTGACGGAGGCAGCATGAGTGGACGACGGGCGACAAGGACTGGAAGTGGGGGTCGGTCTGGAAATGACGACAGCGACGTTGCCGGTGTCGGTGGTGACGGAGGTGCTCGACATGGTTTTGTACGGTGGCGGGGGCGGTGGCGGAATGCTGATGGCGGGCTGAAAATGGTGACGACGAGCTGGGAATGGGGACGATGGCGGGCTGAAAAGCGGCGTCAGGCAGAAAGCCGGCGGCGACGAGATGATAGACGGTGGCGGCGAGATGAGAGGCGGCGGCGGTTGTGCAGGAACAAACGGAGGTGACTGTGCGGCGGTGCTCCGGTGGCCGGAAGGTGGGCGCGAATCTGATGGCTGTTGGCGGAAGGCGGCGGCGATGTGGTGGTTCGCCTGCTGGAACTCTATGTGTGTGTGTGTGGTGTGTGTAGTGTGTGTTCAGTGCGTGAAGATGAGAAAGAGAAGAGGTTGAGGAGAGAGAAAAAGGTGTGGTGATTGATTTATTGAGTGGGCCCCGCTTGTTATATTTATTTACCAATTTACCCTTAATTATTGATCAGATGGACATATTTGACCACAATATGATCAAATATTTACCAGATTGCCATTAATGATTGACCATAATTTGACTTCATCATAACCATTAATATGCTTGATCCCATGGTCCACAATCATTCTCATTTCTTTCACTATCTATCATTCTCATATGATCCCTNTAAAATTTCGCCTAAAAATTTTATTTTAACCTTTATTAATAACTTTGTTGATAAACGGATTTAACCAACGTAATTAAAATATAAAACGCAGTAAAATTTGCGGAAAAATAGAAGTTTTCTTGATTTTTTTGAGGTCGGTTACAGGATATGGTAAGTCGGTATTAGAGTACAGAAGGTCGGTAACAGAGGAAACCGAGGTAATAAATGCTTGAATTTAATGTGTTGGAAGTGGATCCTCGTATCGATTTTAATGCTGCTATTTATAGTTATATCTGGCACACCTTCCAAGAGAAGTCAGCGGCATTTAATGCGGATATGACGGCTAAGGGGCGGCTATGATTCCAGTAGACTTTTTTAGGCAATGATGAAAGTATGGGCACCCCTTTGACTGAGTGACAGGCGTCACTTCTGTCAGGGCGAAGTTGGGTTTTCGTGACATCTATCGTCCTTCAGGGTTGTAACCTTCTATGACCTTCCAATAGAACTCTTTTCAAACCGAGGTGACGATCCCGAAGTGTTTGTGCAATATTGGGACGATCTTGGGGTCTGCTATTTGCATCTTGGAAACCGAGATGGTCAGACCGAGGTGTTGATTTGATACTGAGATGGTGCCGAGGACCTTCATTGCAGCCAGGACTTCTATTAATTAACCTTGAGGTTATCTTAAGCTCACTCAGGATGTTCTTAATCTGTGGTATTCGGTTTTGATGTCAACATAGAGGCCCCTGTCATTAAGGAGTACGCAGATAAGCGTGCTTCTTAATGACACTTTCTTCTTGACCGACTTTCGCTTCGGGGTCATTCGCAAGTCGTTTAAGAGTATACCGAGGTGATTTCCTTAGACTAGAATTACACATTTTCTCGGTCAATAAACTTGAATAAGATCAAGAGGCGGTTACAAGGCAGTTTCCAGAGGTTGCGAATGTGTCTTTCCCACTACTCTTCCCAAAGGACACATACCATAATTTACGGCTGTGAATTCTGGCAGTTTTGGGACACACGTACGTCTGAGATTAAGTTTCGAACATTTATGACGGGATTAATGAGATTTTCTCCAAAAGACACAATGGTTACACGTGCCTCTCCATCCCCAACGGTCGGAAATCGTCGCGTATATATATATATATATTGTCACAGTCTTGGTTTGTAAGTCTTCATCTAAACAACTTATCCGTCTTATGATTCTTTGAGTATTTCTCTTATCTTTTCTTCCGTTCTTCATTCATTCTTCAACGACTCATGATATCCCTTGAGAGCTCACCCCAATTTTCGGTAAGCCCTTGTTTCATCTCTCAATTTCTTAATTTCTTTTTGCTTTTTTTTTTGTCGTGGTTATGGCGGTGAGCGGCGAGCAAGCAGAACTAAGTAGCAGCCGGACCCTATCAGATGTGGAGTTGGATGAGGAGTTGATGGAGTTGATGGGGGATTCCTGTTTTTGTCGAGCGTTTAGATATTCGAAGGAACAACATCGAGGAAGATGCCGAAGTGGAGCGAGATATCCCCGTCAAGTCGGGGTACTGGAGCCGCCCTACCCGATGTTGGCCCAACGATGATGTTTTATTTCTAGGGGAACCCAGCATCATGACAATGCCGACGTGGTTCTACTGCGCGAGTCGGTGCGGATCCCTACCTCGGTTAGAATTTTTGCTCCTTATCCAGGAGAAAGAATTCACTGTCCCCCTCCTGGCTATGTGGGGATTTTTACTGAGAGCCTGAGGTCGGGTTTGAGGTTTCTCCTTGATAACGTGATTACCGATTATTTGCGCGGTTGGGGTCTTAGCCTTAGCCAAATAACTCCAAACAGTTGGAAGAAGATCATAGGGATTATGGTCCTTCTGTCACAGAAAAAACTGCCATTCCCGACGATCGATGAATTTAGGAGCATATTTCTCTTCAAGAGAAGTAGGGAACGAGAGGGCGTCCCACCTACTGGTTGCTTTTTCTGCGCGGCGAGGCTGCAGTACGACTTGAAGATGGGACAATTGACCACAGGGATTCCCGAAACCCTTCATGGCTTCCAAGACGAGTGGTTATGGGTCGGTGGGGATTGGCAGTCTCCTGACTTTTGACTTGAGATGCCAATCGACAGGATGACAGTCCTGACCCGAGTTGTTTCTTCTTTCCGTAAGTTTCTCTCTTATACTCGGAATCTCCTGACGAGTTGTTTTTCCTTCGCTAACAGTTCGGACATTTTCATATTTGTAGCCAAGAGGAAAAAGGAGCCGAAGCTTAGCGGTGAATTTAGGGAGAAGCTCGAGGAGCTAGCCAAGCTAGACGCTTCAGAACGTAAGTGGGGTTTATTGACGAAAAATTCCAAACTTGCTGACGCCAAACTCAGAGCGAAGAAGGCAATCCCCGACTTTGAACCTGGTAAGCTTTCGTTATGTCGACTAAACAGCTTTTGGGTTTTTTTCTTTTATTTATTTTGTGAGTTGAAGTGACCTCTTTTATTATCTCCTCTCTTCAGTCTATTATCCGCTGCTCGGTTTCTTTGGATTCCGATCCGTTCGAGAAGCAAAGGATTATCGTCGCCAATTTTCTGTAAAGGATACCGAGATGGGTCGCATGAATTTTTTGGAAGGATTGAAGAATAAAGCACCTAGCCGCGCTCCAGGAGGTGCCGACATTGAGGCCACGTCGGGCCCGCCAGTCACAATTGTGATACCTGCCCCGGTCATTGAGCCCGTTCTGGAACCTGCTCCAGAGATAAATGCCGAGCTTATAGTCACGCCTCCCATTGCCCCCTCCTGAAATTGAGAAGGATACCGAAATGGCCAACCCCGACCTCCACGTGATCATATCAAGCTCGGAGGAGGCTGAGATGGCTAAAAAGGCCACAGAAGAACCTTCGACTCAAAAGAAGAAGAAGAAGAAATCCAAGAGAAAGGCTGGTGAGGAGCTTGATGCGGAAAAAGAACGTCGTTCTAAGGCGTGGCAGGATGTCGGTCAACTAAACTTGGAGAAGAATGCTCTAGTCCACCAAGATGGGGGTAACACTTACTTGCCCATTGACGAGGAGAGGATCCTCAATCTCAACCTTCCAGACGACGTAATGGAGAGTTGGTTTACACAATTCCATTCTATGATCATCCCGAAGTTTACCAACAAATTTCATCAGCCTCCGCACGTGATGGAGGCAGCTCGGGTTCCATTAATGTCATGGGATCCTTTGACAGAGGTGCGAGTGTCCGGGCTGTCGAGCACTTACAGGTTCAGCTATGCCAAGGCTACTTTGGGGAGAGCCTTGGTCGGTCTCTGCGCTATGGAGGATGTGTTTCGCATGAATGCTGCCGTACTCAATGAACGAAAGGACAAACTGGAGTTGCGCGATGGTCAACTCGTGTCTCTAGAGGCAGACAAAGCTGCCTTGACAACCGAAGTAGAAGAAAAGACTGTTCAGCTTGCCACAGCCAAGACCGAGATCGAAGGGTTAACAGTTGAGAAGAAACGTCTGGAGGACGAAATGCGCAAACTTACAGCGCAAATTGGTGCTTCCGAGATGGAGGTTAGGAACAAAGAGAATCATTCTTTGAAGGAGGTGGAGGAGCACCAAAGAACTCGGGAGGAGCACCAGAAAACTCGCAAAGATCGTGCCGACAAGGAAGCCCAACTGATACGCTTGGCAGAGGCGCATGCTGCCGAGCTGGTGAAGTTAGAGAAGGAAAAGGTCGCTTTTGGAGATCTCATGCGTGCACAAGGGGTTGAGGATGGTAAGGAACTCGGGAAGCAAGAGTTCAAGGGCTCCGCCGAGATGAAGAGGGACATTGAGCTTAACTCCTGCCTGAACCTCCGCTGGGTGATTGACCGATATCAGTCTGGTCTGTACGGTATCAAGGATTTGAAGACCATCATGCTCATGAAGATGGAGAGGTTCGATTTTGACCCCGAGATTGAAGAGATTCACGTTCCCGCCAATGACGATGAACGAAACTACTATGAATTAGTGCTGGGCAATACTGAGGCCGACGTTGTTGCCCGTGGGCTTCCTCCTATGAACGCGGATAGACAAGCTGCTCTTCGGAAAGCTTATGTCAACATGGTCCTCGAGGGGGAAAAGGAAAAAAGGGTGGAGTTTGCCGACGTGTTCATCTCTACTCTCGCCGACTTCACCGTTGAACAACATCTTAACCTCCTGACTCCAGCCCAGATTAAGAAAGAGGTGGTGGAGTATGCCAAAAAGTTTGTGGCTGCGGCAGCTGAAGAAAATGTGGTGAACCCCCCAACGGGGACCGAGCTGGTGAAGGGAACTAGTGACGTCGATTCCGCGAAGGTGAAGATCGTGCTGGACCCCCAGGCTTTGGATGCCGCAATCTTCTCTAGATTGAGCGAAATGGTCAAGGACGGCTCCGAGGCTCCGAAAGGTCAAGAAGAAGAAGTCCTTGAAGATGTTGATGGCTCCCAGGC